TGATTTTTGATTTATTGTAGAGATGAGATCTCGCCAAGTTGCCCAGGTGGGTCTCGAACCCGCGGGCTCAGGCCATCCACTCACCTCAGCCTTCCAAAGAGCGGGATTACAGGCTGAGCCACCGAGCCCGGCGCCAATCCTTTTCTTACAGTATTATGATAATTGTTCAAAGTTCGCTTATGAGTGATAATTCTATGTAATACTCAGTTCTTTGTTTCTGTGATAGATCACTCAGTATTATAGATTCTAAGTCCATCCCAGTTGCTTTGATGTTCACACTTGTGTCCTTCTTTATGGCTGTGTAATATTCCATCGTGTATATGTACCACATTTTTTTTTTATCCAGTCCTTTTTGGATGGGCAGCATGGTTGGTTCCATGTTTTTGTTATTATGTTTTTTTTGTTTTTTTTTTTTTTGAGTTGGAGTCTCACTCTGCCACCCAAACTGGACTGCAGTGGCCGCTCCCGGCCACCGCAGCCTCGACCTGCTGGGCTCCGGCGATCCTTCCGCCTCAGCCTTCCGAGTAGCTGGAATTACAGGCATGTGCTACCACGCCTGGCTGATTTTTTGAGTTATTGTAGAGATGAGGTCTCGCTGCCCAGGTGGGTCTCGAACCCGCGGGCTCAGGCTATCCACTCACCTCAGCCTCACAAAGGCGCAGGATTACAGGCTGAGCCACCGAGCCTGGCTTTTTGTTATTATGAATAATACTGCAGTAAACATGCATGTGCAGGTATCTTTCTCATAGAATGATTTGAGTACCTCCAGGTATACTCCCAGTAGGGGGACTCTGGGGTCATATGGAAGGTCAATTTTTAGATCTTTTAGGAATTGCCAAACTCTTTTCCATAGAGATTGTGTTAATATACACTCCCACCAAGAGTGTAGAAGTGTTCCCTTTTCCCTACATCTACTCCAGCATCTGTTGTTTTTAATCAAGAAGGGGTGCTGGTTTTTATCAAAGGCTTTTTCCATGTCTGATGATATAATCATGTGTTTTTTGTTTTTATATCTGTTGATGTATTTAATTACATTTATGGTCTTGTGAATGCTGAACCAGCCCTGCATCCCAGGGATGAAGCCTACTTGGTCATGGTGGATGACTTTTGAGATGTGTTGTTGGATCCAGTTTGAAAGGATCTTGTTGAGAATTTTAGCATCTCACATTCATCAAGGATATTGGCCTGTAGTTGTCTTTCTTTTTTGGATCTTTACCTGGCTTGGGTATCAATGTGATGTTAACTTCATAAAATGATTTTGGGAGAGTTCCGTCTTTCTCAATTGCCTGGAATACTTTCAATAGGATTGGCATCAGTTCCTCCTTGTATGTTTTGTTGAATTCTGCCGGAAAGCCATCTGTTCCAGTGCTTTTTTGTAGGTATTTTTCTTATGACATAGTCAAATTTCCTGGATTGTTATTGGTCTATTTAGGGTCTTGATTTCTTCTTGTTTCAACCTGGAGAGGTTGTATGATGTCAGAAAGTTCTCTATTTCATTTAGGTTTTCAAGTTTGTTTCCATACAAGTGTACCTAGTAGTCTCTGATAATCTTTTGTATTTCTTTGTGGGTCAGTTGTGACTTGATCTTTTGCATTTCTGATAGTGTTTAGAACAGGCTTTTCTCTCTTTTTCTTGGTCAGTCTAGCTAGCGGTTCGTCAATCTTGTTTATCCTATCAAAGAACCAGCTTTTGTTTTGTTAATTTTTTATATTATATTTTTGTCTTGCTTGTCCTGAATTTGGGCCTTTATTTTAGTGATCTAGATTCACCTACTGAAGTTAGGGTTTTAATGGTGTTACTTTTCCAGCTATCTTAGGTGATTTCTTAGGCTGTTAACTTGTGGTCTTTCCATTTTCTTCATGTGTGTTCATAGAGATATTAATTCCCCTCTTAGTACTGTTTTCATGGCATTCCAAGGGTTTTAGAAAGATGTTTCTTCATTTTAATTTGTTTCCAGGTATCTTTTAATCTCTGTTTTGATTTCCATGTTGACCCAGGAGTTGTTTTAGCATCTTGTTATTTTAGTGTACATGTCTTTGTGGGTTTGGGGGGAACTTTGTTGGAGTTGATATTTATTTTTATTCCACTGTGGTCTGAGAAGGTGCATGGCAGCATTTCAGCCTTATGGAATGTATTTATGCTTGATTTATGGCCAAGGATGTGGTTGGTCTTAGAGTACATTCCATTTGGTGATGAGTAGAATGTATATTTCATAGTTGTTGGGTGGCATGTCCTTTAGGTATTCAATTATATATCCATTTGGTCAAGCATCGTGTTGAGGTTTCTGAACTCCTTGCTGATTTTTTTGTCTTGATCTGTCTAGGGTTGTGAGTAGGGTATTTAAGTCCCCAGCTATGATAGTGTTAGAGTCAATATTTTTTTTACGTTTACCTAGAAACTGCTTTATGAAAGTTGGTGCTCCTATGTTGGGTGCATATATGTTTAGGATGGATATTTATTGTTGATGGATTGAACTTTTTATCATGATGTAGTGACCTTCCGTATCTTTATAAATTTTTGTTAGCTTAAAGAGTGTTTTGTCTGATATTAAGATCATGATTCTTGCTTTCCTTTGTGTTCCGCTCACCTGAAACTTTGTTTCCCATCTTCTTATTTTGAGTCTGTGAGTGTCCTTTCTGGTGAGATGAGTCTCTTGAGATATTATATTGTTGCCTCTTGATATTTTATCCATTTTGCCATTCTTTGTCTTTTTAGTGGTGCATTTAGTCCATTCACATTCAGGCTAATTATTAAGATGTGATAGTTTATCCCTGCCATGAGATTCTTAAAGAGTATCTTGTTGCTACTATTGTTTCTTTGTTGTCTTTCTTTTGATTTTGGGGTTGATTCATGTGTTTTTTCAATCTTTCCTGCATTCTTGTGAAGGGTAGTGCCATTCTTTTTTTTCCTTTCTTCTTTGTTTAATACTTTAAGTATTTCTTATAGAGCTGGGTTGGAGGCAGTGTAAAATCTTAGGAATTGAATGCCTGGGAAGGATTTTAATTCTCTACCACTAATGAAGCTTAGCTGCGTAGGTAATTTTTTATTGAAATTGTTTATCTTTGAGAACTTTAAAGATTGAGTTCCAAGCTCTCCTAACCTGAAGTGTTTCTGTAGATAAGTCTGCTGCTGTTCTAATTGGTCTTCCCAGGTAGGTAGTCTGATTTTTCTCTCTTGCTACCTTTAGGATTTTTTTAATACCTATTTTGTGTTAGATGAATTATAGTATGCATAGGAATTGGTCTTCTTATTTGTTGTCTTGTAGGGGTTCTCTGAGTCTCTTGTGTTTGAATGGTTGCATCACTGGGGAAGTTTTCTTGGATGATTTCATGGAATATTTGTCCCAGGTTGGTGTCTGTCTCTCTGTCTGCCTCAGGGATTCCAATTCATCTTAGGTTCAGTCTCTTGAAATAATTGCTCATCTCTTGAAGGTTTTGTTCTGTCTTCTTAATCTTCTTTTCTATGTTTTTAACAGTTTGGGTTAGTTCCATATTTTGGTCCTCAAGCTTTGAAATTCTTTCTTTTGCTTGGTTAATGCTTTCCATGCTTATCAGTTTGTTATTTATTTAATTCACTGTATTATTTATTGCTGTTATCTCAGTTGTCAACTCCTTCATTCTTTCCTCTTGTCTCTTCTCATTTCTATTTATTCTATTAATATCTTAATATCTAGGTTTGTGGTTTGAGTCCAGTCATTCTGGGGGCTCTTCATTGTTTGCATTGTGAAGTCTGTATTCTCAGTGGTTGGCTTCCCAGGGGTCTGTGTGAGACCCATATTCTTCCTTTGGTTTTTCTTCATTTGTGTAGATTTTCCTCCCCCTTTTTTTAACCCTTTAATTCTGTTGTTTAGGGATGGGGTAGTTCTGTTTTCTCAATCTCCTATTCTTCCTTAAGTGGATCCTCTGACTTTGTTCAGTTCTGAAGCTGGACTGTGAGTGGAGGTCTGTACTTTTTGTAGTTGTGAGATTTAATTGAGGGGGGAGCTGTGTTCGGAAACTATCTGCAGATCCCAGTATCCGCTGACAGGTCTGTGGGCCCCCTTGAACCCACTTCTCACCCCCTTACAATCTGTCCATACAGTGGGGGGCTATAGCAACATGAGTTAAGAGTAAGGAAAAGAATGGAAAAAGGAAGGAGGAGGATGTGAGTAAGGTTGAGAGCTAGAAGAAGAAAAGAGAAAACAGACTGGCGTATCCACTAACAAATGAAAAGAGACACAAACAGAAAAGATAAAAAAATATGAAAACATATAGACAATCATACAAACACACTAAGTGCCAAAAACCCCCCATTGATGTTCTCTCCCTTAAAAATACCCATACACAAACAGGAAGTCAAAAAAATAGCATTAAAATAACAGAAACAAAGCACATATGAAAATGGAATCAAAAATGGAAAAGGAAGAGAAAAAACTAAAACAAAAAACAAACATAAAAAAAAGCAAAAAAACCCAAAAAAACAAAGAAACTCACAAACAAACCCCCAAAAAGCAAAACCCCATCTGAGGTTGTTCCTGTAACTTCAACTTCCTTTCAGCTCTGATCTCCAGCTCCTCCCCTCCGCTCTCAGCGCAGGCTGATAGGGTTGTTCTCAGCATGGGTCGGATGCCCCAGGACTACTGTGGGAGGAGGGTGGATCAGGTCTGGACTCACCCAGCTTGCTGCCGCCGCTGTCACATCTCCCAGCACGATGGGATCCTAGTGTCTGTACCTGTGCCAGCATGGGGGAGGGGCATCTGTCTTTCTGAGTTTGACCAGGAGATAACCTCTAGGTGGTGTGGAGCTGGGCGGGGCAGTGCAGGTCTTTGCCTGGTCCAGGATGGAGAAAATGGCTCCAACAGCAGGGCTCCTTCCGGCTTTCCGCTGCCCTCTCCGCAGATCCTGGGGACCTCACCACTCTGCCGTCACACGTGATGCCATCGCTCGGTGGTGAGGATCAGCTGCTTCTGCCGCCGCTTCTCGGGAGAGCCCCGAGAACAGCAGACAACCCTGTGGGCTGGGGCTGGGGCTCCACTCTCAGGGCGGTGGGGAGCTGCAGTCACCCCTGGAGGAGGACCCTGGTGCGTGAGCCCGAGTCTCCCCTCAGACATACTTGCACACACCCACCGGCACGCACCCATTCACACGGAGAGTCTCTGGGGACACTCGCTTCTGTGGAAACTCTCGCAGTCTGATCTGTTCCGTCGCCGTCTTGCTGGAAATCGGATCAGATAGTATTATCTTGAGAATCTTTGGTTGACTTCTTTTGCTCTCCTTTACGTACGTACGTTTTATGTAGAGCAGTCGTTCTCAAATTATGATTGTGAATCTCTGCAGATCCTTGAGATCTTTCAGTAGAGGCCATGAGGTCAAGTCTTTTCATAATACTAGACATCATGTGTCTTTGTGTGTGTGTTGATATTTGCACTGGACAAAAGCAGTTGGGGTAAAATTGCCTGTTGCTTAGCACAGACCAAGGCAGTGGTGTCCAAGTGTCAGTCATTTTTTTTCTTCCTTGCCATCAACTAATAGTAAAAAAAAGAAGATGATGATACCAGTTTTACTTAAAAATATTCTTAGCCGGGCTTGGTGGCTCAGCCTGTAATCCCGCACCTTTGGGAGGCTGAGGTGAGTGGATTGCCTGAGCCCGTGGGTTCGAGACCTGCCTGGGCAGGCAAGACCTCATCTCTACAATAAATCAAAAAATCAGCCGGGCATGGTAGCGCATGCCTGTAATTCCGGCTACTTGGAAGGCTGAGGCTGAAGGATCGCCGGAGCCCAGCAGGTCGAGGCTGTGGTGGCTGGGAGTGGCCACTGCACTCCAGTCTGGGCAACAGAGTAAGACTCCAACTCAAAAAAAAAAAAATTCTTGATAAAATTGTAAATACTGTTAATTTTATTAAATATTGGCCTTTGAGTATGTGTCTTTTAAAATTTTCTATATGATGATGAGATGATAAGTATGCATAAAGTGCCTGTTGTGCATACGGAGCAAAGATGCTGGTCTCAAGGAAAGTAAAGCGGTTAAACTAGTAGTTGAGTTAGTCATTTTTTTTTTTTTGTGGAAGACAGTTTTTACTTGAAAGAATGACTGACAGATTATAGTTATTTAGAGTATTTGGCAGCCATTTTTTCCTGTTTTTTGTTTTCTTTCTTTCTTTTTTTCTTTTACTTTATTACAAAGATGTGGGTTACAAGTCAGGATTCTGTACATGAGTGGTTTACAAACAGGTGAAGTTGGAACCTCTACCTGGACCTCACTTCACCTGGTTTAGGATCCAGTACCCTTCGTGTGGTTACTTGCCCCTCTCTCTTTCCCACCCCTGGCAACATCCCTCTACTGCTATTTCCTTTCTTCTAGTACTGTGATAAATGTTCACGACGCACTTATAAGTGAGAATATGTGGTTCTCTGTTTCTGTATAGATCACTGAGTATGATGGATACTACATCCCTCCAAGTTGCTGAGAAGTCCATAATTTCATCCTTCTTTATGGCTGTGTAATACTCCGTTGTATATATGTACTACATTTTCTTTATCCAGTCTACTTTTGATGAACAGCAGGGTTGGTTCTATGTTTTTGCTATTGTGAATAGAGCAGCAATGGACATGCATATGCAGATGCCTTTTTTATAGAATAATTTGTGTTCCTCCAGGTATATTCCTTTGTTGGGGGGGGTTGCTGCGTCATATGGAATGTCAATTTCTAGTTCTTTTCAAAATCCCCCCACTCTTTTCCATAGAGGTTGAACTAGTTTGCACTTTCAACAACAGTGTAGAAGCAGTCCCTTTTCTCTGCACCCACTCCAGCGTCTGTTGTTTTTTTATTGATGATAGCTATCCTTACTGGTGTTAGGTGGTTTCTCAATGTCGTTTCTCAGTGTGGTTTTTGGTTTGCATTTCTCTGATGATTAGTGAAGCTGAGCATTTTTTCATGTATCTGTTGGCTGTTTATATGTCTCCTTTCGAAAAATATCTATTCATGTTTTTTCCCACTTTTTAATGGAGTGGGTTTTTGTCCTTTTGGCACATTTGAGTGCCTTATAAGTCCTGGATATAGATCTTTGTCAGATATACAGTTGACAAATATTTTTTCCCATTCTGTGGGCTGTCGCCCTGCTCTCTTGATGGTTTCTTTTGCTTTGCAGAAGCTTTTTAGTTTGCTGTAGTCCCACTTGACTGTCTTATCTTTTATGGCATAAACTTTTGGGATTTTGATCAGGAATTTGATTAGAATTGCTACATAATTTAGTGATCCAGTATTTTTCAAATGACCAGTACATGACGTTACAAAATTTCACAAGGGTGAAAGATCCATTCAAAATGCAAGATAGGCAAATGGATTTTAATATAACAGTGTGAAAAGTTCATTGATAAATCAGGTTTCAAATTCCACGTTGTAAAATTTTGGTTCCTTTCCCATACATATCTTTGTGAAGTGACGCTTTCTTTATACCCCTTGTAACAGATTAGCAGAGGTAGAAGCAGAGACAAAGATCTGCAGATGTCTTCTATAAAGTCATTAAGGAGATTTGTAAAATTGTAAAATAATGTTACTCTTCTGACTACAATGTTTTTGCTTGGAAAATATCGAGTTATTTCTTTTTAAACTTAGGTGCTATTTATGTTAACATTTATTGGGTGAATTTATTATTGCCATTTAAACAAATTAATTTTTTTTAGGTTTCTCAATTTTAATTACTAATATGGTAAACATCAGTACTATAATCTACATAAAAAAAGCTCTGGAGTCCTCAGTGCTTATTAAGAGCATGAAGGCCTGAGACCAACATGTTGAATTTCTGGTGTAGAGTTTTATGATGAACTGATGGACTAGTGCCCTTTTGGTAAACATGTGCGTTATGAATTGTCTACATAAGGAAAACTGGGAGCTAAGATTGTTTTGCCATGCATCCTCAACAAAACTGTTGGGGCAAAAATATGTCAAACCCTTGGACTGCTCTCTATATGGTTTCATTGTCTTTCACCAAACTATTTAAATATGTTTCCTCATATTTTTTGCAGTTGAGGCTAGAAGGCTTCTCTTCTCTGTCACCTATGCAAATTGCAGACATTTAAAACGTGACTCAAATAACCAAAAATGTATGCTCATACGATACATCACTTTTAACTGTCTTTAACTCACAAAAATATATCAATTGGTGTGTCAATACTCAACAAAAAGATGATGTAGTCAATACCTGTTTATACACTAGTTTATTATCTATTTTGAAGATCAACCAAAAGTAGCTTTAAACTTTAGCTAGTCGTTGTCTTGCCAACAAACTAGACTTTTACTAATCAACTAGAGTGTGCCTCAGTAAAAAGACATTGAATAAAATAATATGCAAACCAAAATATAAAATAAAAATATAATTCACAGTTCAACAGATATTTGTATAATTAGAATTAACTGAATTTCACCAACATGTGCATTAATTCTAATTTTATGGAAAACTTGATAGGAAATTTAATACAATTTTTAAATAAGCCCAATAGATATTTTTAAATGGGCATAATATTTGATATCTGCCATAGGAAGGAGAAATCCCCTTGTTAGGAATTGGTAACTGGATTCATCTAAGTCTTTGTTATGTTGCCTCATTGCTACCATTAATTATAGTAGACTTTCCTTTGTTTTTTAGCACACCAAAATTATAAAGCTGAGTATTTTTTTTTAGGTCGAAAGTTATATACTTTTTCTCCTTTCCTTTCTTTTAGGATTTAATAAGAAGGCAGCAACTGACGCACATGAAAATGGAGACCTGGGAACTTCGAGTGAAGCTCCACTAGATGACAGTGCTTCAAAATTAGATGATCTGCACAGTCTGTATCACAAAAAATCTTATTGAATTGACTGTCTCTCTAGACACAATGATTAATCAGACTGTTCTGAATTTGAGGCACTAGGGAAGATGGTGACGAAGACTATAGGACAAGGGAGGCTGTTGGCTGCCTAAATGAAAGGCAGGTACCTCAGGGCTTCATGTGAACAATTCTGAATGCATAAAACCCCGTTTTCTGTGGTATACTGTTAGCGATCGCATGTAAAGCAATTTCATTTTCTTGAAACTGTAAGCACCAAAGCATGTGTTTTTCAAAGGGACATCACAGACTTTTAAGTGCCACATGGAACACCACTGTTTCATTTGGCTCCTCTTCCATTTAGTAGAATGACAGTGCTGACTGGAATTTCATAAAATATAGTATTCAAATGCAGAGAGTAAGTGGATTCATATTGCATATTCCAGAATGTTAACTGTGGTATTTCAGAGAACAGAACTTGACTAAATGAATTGCCAAAGTGTAGGCTTGACTTAATTTTTTTCTAACTGAAAGAATGTTTTTAGACTTAAAAAAATTTTTTATTGTGCATCTGAATCCATTACTAGTGATTGAGTTTGCCTTTCAGCTTTATTCAGTGCATACAAAATAGTTTTATTTAAACAATCATTTATCAATCAGTGCTGTGCTAGAAATAGTTTCTGAAAATTTACTATACATTTTACTTTTTTGGTTGCTAAATGCAGATGAGTATAAAATATCTGTTCTCCATGATGTTGATCTGTGTGCATTGCATTGGAGCATTTACTCATTAATGTTTAGCTCAGATGTTTTCTTTCTGGGATCCACAAAGACAGTTCCATATATTTTGAGTTGTTCATAAAGTTTATCTTGCTATAATAGTCCTGGCACCTAAAGGTACATTTTTCTGGTAGTTAAACTCACATTTATTATTAAGTCATGCAATACAGTGCATTCAAACAGCAACTTTCTCTCTGAGTAGCTGATTTGCCCAAATCTTATGAAAAGCCGGGGGCAAAGGTGGGCAAGATGAGGTGAACACATTTGATACAGTAATTGTTCTGATTGGGTTTTCATGTCAGTGTATGTTTGACTAAAGAATTTTTTATTTGTAAACTCTATGACTTCGCGTTTTCTTGTCTCAGAATGAAGCATGGAATACCTCCTCTCTTATTATTTACTGTTCAGCAGGCTGTTGTTTCTGCTGGGCAAAGTCAACACATTGCATTTAAAGAGGTGATAGTTTTGCTAAGATCACTGTTTTAAAGGATATACATTTAAGGGACCATTAAGTGGGAGAAAGCCTATGAGGCTTTTAATATATTATCAGTATCTTAATTTCTAGTATTCAGATGTTATGTGATAAAACACATTTTTTTGTCTTTCCTAGACGCACTATATATTTGTTCAAAGGTAAATCTATAAAATGTATATACTTTATTTTGTGATTTTGCTGTTTATAAATTTAATGTTTTAGCTGTTCGCTTGTGGTTTGTTTTGGGTGAGTTTGATCATCTGTATATCACCATGTTGATTTGTAATAGAAGTACACTCCATAGTGTAGTTGTTACTGATATTAAAATACTTTATAGCATAACATTGCCTCCAAGTAAAAGCTAGTATTTAATTGTACAAATGAATGAGCAAGTTATATGTTATTGTTTGCTCTTGACAGGATAAGCCTCTTAAAAGTAAAAAATTGTTTTTTCATATGCATTTTCCTATGCCAAACACATACCCCCATGCATGACATGAAATCTGCAAACTGAATTTTAGCCATTGTATTTATTTAGTTTAAAAAAATCCACTTATAGCAGATCTTTCTGAAAACTTTCTGCTGTGACATGAAATCATGCTATTCTTAAAACAGAACCTGGGATGGAATGACCATCATTCATTTTTTTCAGAGAATAACCTTTCTCTACCATTACTTTAGGAAATGTAAGCTGTAACCCTTTGCTTTTAGAGAACTACCTAATAATTGTATAAAGAATTTTTTCGAACCTTGAATTGGAATTTTTGTGAGGTTGCCGTGTAATTTGAAGGATTATGTGAGATAGTTATGATATAAATTCCTTTCAAGGGTTAATAAACAAAATGAAAAGTTTTCTGAGTAGTTTAAAATTCCACAGGTCAGTGTTCTTTTCATTCCTGCTTCACCGTGGTTTGCAAGCCTAAGCACTGTTGCTCACATACTACTGTGAGCTTCCTGTTGGATATTAGTAACTAGGTAAGAGTTCATTTTAGAATGAATACATGATCTTGGAGATGAACTAAAAATTACAGACTTTTCTAAAGGACTGAATGAGAACCTGTTTTAATATTTTCACATTTATAGGAAGAAAACACGTATATAACACTGAAGCTTCTAAGACAAAACCAAACTGATTAGAGGGAAACTATTACGAAGCCATTATAATGAAAAAGGGAAAGAAAGAGAAAAATACACACATGCATACACAAACAGAATAGCTGAGAAGAGCTTTTAAGTAGAACCTGAGGATTATGTGTGTGTGAGTATAGATATTTACACTTAACCTCTAAAATTCTCCTCTGCAGTACATTATCTCTGTTATGAATATGATGAAAAATCAGCACTTGAGTTATGGGACTATTGAAATAGATTTAAAAAAGATGAAATTTTGTCTGTCTTGGTGATTATAACTGAATAGTTATAAAAGTTAGTACAGGTTGTCCATGGTGCTGTTTTGTTTTTTTCCCTACCACAGTGGACTTATTTTGTTTTCATGCTTAGAAACAAAAAACTGTAGTATTGATTCGTATGTAAACTACACATTTTTGACATCTTTATTAGGTAATCCACTATTCCACCTCTTTAGTCTTCCATTTATGGTCAGCCTCAAATCTATTCTATAGCATTTATGACAAATGTATTATATCTAGTTGAGTTTAATATTTTTTTATTAGTCTGTAAATAAAGATGGCATCTTCTACATTAAAGTTATATTGATCTCATTTTTTAAAAAAATAAACATTTTTTGTTTCTTTCACATTAGTTTATTATTTATTTCTAGTATCGTCTATTATTTGTACCAGCATGTGTCATAAAGCCCATGCAAAGGACTTGTCTTAGTTTTGTGTTACAAATATTGACAGTCAATGATATCTATAAATAGAACTCTGATAAAAATTAGAAAATCAATCCTATTAGATGCTATTTCAGAGGATATTGTTGCAAAACATTTTAACATCTAAGAATATATAGTGTAGAATTTTCCAAATTATATGTAAAATAATTTTAGATAACACTTGTAAATTAATATAAATCGTGTTTCAGAAAGTGACTTGAATTATGAACATTTAGAAATACTTCTTGTCATTGACTAACCTTGATTTAGTGCTAATACATATCTGTTTCCTGAGTGTTGATTTAAGCTCTCAGTTCACCAAGTAATTTGAAAAAAAGTCTTCCCCAGAATTCATCCTCATAAAATATTGTTCAATTTATGAAACTCTAATGGTAACTTATATTTTCATTGTGAGTCAGTGTTTTATTTTAGGTGATTTTATAACTGTAACCTCAAAAAAAAAAAAAACCCTTAAAAGTATTGCAAATCACCTTGCACTGTTGGTACAAAGTATTTGTTCAATAATAAACCTTTTTTAGGTGGATTTTGAGAGCCAAAACCACTGTGGTGGCAGCCACAAGAATGCATCTCTCAGTTCCCCTGCAGGAGGAAACATTTCTTACTGAAGGTCCAGCTGCTGCACTCTGAAATCTGCCCTTGTGTGCATGCTGAGGCTACACTTCTCCACGCTGCTGCCAGCCAATGACTGGGATATTATGTGTTGACTTCTCCAAGTTAGCTGGAGGACTCCCAGATGGTCAGGCAAAACTTCCTTAGGATAACATTGCCGTTTAAGTTCCTTTCACCCTTTGCTTGGGGTCATACCTGCCTTGTGATTTGGCTGCCTCCCACCAATCCCTACTCCCTACCTGTTTTTTCTCACTGGCATTGCTCCTAATAAATCTGTTGCACACCTTTTTTGGTGTTGGTGTCTGCTTCTTAGAGTACCTAGGTTAACACAAGTGAACCAGGAATGTGATCTGAGGAAACAGGTAATAAGGGGGCTAAGACCTTCCTCAACTCCCACCCAAAGGATAAAAACAGTGACATATAGTCCTTGGTACAACATCATGGTTCAGTTGCTAAATATTTCACAGGTGGTTTGAAGAAAGGAGTTAACACAGCAGGGCTGAAGCTGTTGTTCTTAGTCCTGCTTTCAAGGTTGGAACTTGGCAAGTGTCCAGCAACTTGGATCTCAGGAGTATTTCCTCTATTCCCTAGTTGATGAGGGTGGTTTACTGTGCCTGAAATGTTTGTTCACACAATAGGATGTATATTGAACACCTACATTTCTTTGGGAATCTGGAATTTTGGTGCATGTTAAGCAGAGGGTATCTATATGTCTGACTCCCCCTAAAACCTGGACTCCCAAGCTTAATCAGGCAAGTGTCCCTGGTGGGCAACACGTTTTTTGTACATCATTGCCAGAGGAATCAAGCACATCCTGTGTGACTTGACTGGGAGAAGACTCTTGGAGCTTGTGCCTTGATTTTCTCTGGCTCAAGCCTTTTCCCTTTGCTGAGTTTGCTTTGTTCTCTGTAATAAATCATAGTTGTGAATACAACTCTATGCTTAGTCCTGTAGCTTCTCCTACCAAGTCACTCAACTTGAGAGCAGTTTTGGAGACCCCAGGCATAGGTGGCAATTTGGGAAACTCCCCATGGAGGTGAATTCTCCAGGAGGTTCAGTGATTCAGGCTTCTTAAAACTAGGGAGAACAACGTCTACAGGATCAGCTAAGTTGGAGAGTTACTGCTAGGCTGTATTGGTGACCCACAGAATGGAGGGAAGGGGCATCCAAGAAGGCCTTACATCCTGCAGTGGAAGGAGTGAAACAGCTGAGCTTCGGGCTGAATATCTAACTGTTAAGTTTGCAGAGTTCCAGAAACCTGAATGTTCAACTGAGTCCTGCCTATTTTGTGAAAGAACCCTGATGGGCAAAACCTAGAAATTCGAAATATGCCATGGGTGCATCTGGATGGATGTCCTTGCAGATGTTGACTCTGCAGTCTTTACTTCACGCTCTGGTCTTGCAGAAGCAGTCCACTCTTCTCTAAGACTGAGTACCGTGGGCTTGTAGAGGTAGCCCACCTTCTCTAAGACCTTGTCCTTGCTACAAGATGCTGCAGAGGCTGCTACTCATCACCTCAAGGCAGCAGCTGACAGACCTCAGGTTAAATCCTAGCAAAGCCTGATTGGACATGATATGGGAGAAAAGAAACCTCACCAAAAGTGTAAGAATTAGCAAGCATATTCTGTCAAAAGCCAAGGGTGTGCTCCTAGGAATTGATTTTGAAAGTACTTGATTACGGACTAAACTCATTAAGGGAAAATTCAAGAGGAGTTCCGATAAGATGGCGACGGCATAGGTGGACTTGTGAGATTCTCCGAACGTGAGTTCCCAAAAAGACTCCTACTACTTTTCTTCCCCCACCCCCCCCACCAGCCACGCTGGTCCGAGGCTTGGGGACCTTTGGTCCCATGCAGGGCCAGATATAGTGGCCCTCAGCTGCTGCTGCTCCACTATACATGACTCCCGCCTGTGCAGGAGTCTCGGGTCTCGTCTCCCTCCCTGGCTACATCGTCTCTTGCCTAGCACCCAGCACCAAGCTGCCAGTCACTCAGGGAGGCTCTGGGTGCCCGCCCCTCGGAGACACGAGTCCCATTTCTCGCTGAAGTATCCTGTGGGGGGCCTGGGGCCACTCTTGCTGTGCACCACCTGCCCCTTGGAGCTTTGGAGCTCTGGATCTCTGGGCCCACCCTGGCTGAGGCACTCAGTGTGCCACCCCATGCTTAGGGACCCAGACAAGTAGAGAGAAAAGATCCACGAGAGTGAAACTGCCACCTCGACCATTCTACAGGCAGAGATTTGCATTGCCTTGCCCATCTATCAGCAGCCCCCACCTCAGTTCCTAAGGTAATGTCGCTAAACAGGAGACAAAGGTCCACCCCTATACTGAATCAGACAAAAGCAACTAAGCATCACAAACCTCCCAGGCAGCAGGCTAAAAAAAAAACCCAAACTGCGAGTAAATCTAGCTGCCTGCAACAAAAAACAAAGGGGAGAGGCTGGAGATCAGAGCTGAAGTGACTTTAGACATGCAGGAAAGTTTCCAGAGCTAGTTTGATCTCTTATTTTGACTTGATTTTATCATTTTGACTGTTTTGCTCACTTGTTTGCTTTCTGACTTACACTGTTTCATGATTTTATTGGTCTGTCTCTGTGTAGCTACCAGTATTCTTTAGGAAATCTTTCTTACGTGGTTTTTTTCCACTTCTCTCTGGCCTTGTGTCTCTTTCTCACCTGTTAGTTGATATGTATGTCTGTTTTCCCTCTCTTCTCTCTTTCTAACTTCCTATTGCACTCCCCTCCTTCATTATTTTCCTCTTTTGTACCTCCTTTTAATCCAGGGACCAAACCTACATACCTCTGTATGGACAGATTGTAAGGCAGTGGGAAATAGGTTCCAGTGTGCTCATATACCTGTTGGTGGATGCTAGAATCAGCATATAGATTCTGAACCACAGCTTCCCCCTCAATTAAACCTCAAAACTGCAAAAGGTACAGCCCGCAACCCACACTCCAACCTCAAAAGTGAACAAAGCCAGAGGACCCTCCTAAGGAAGAACAGGAGATTGCACAGTGAAACAAAAGCAACCCCACCTTCCCTGAAAAACAGAATTAAAGAAGAGGAGGGAAAGGAGGAGAGAGAGAAAAATCTGCACAAATGAAGAAAAACCAAAAGAAGAATATGGGTCTCCCCCAGACCCCTGGGAGGGCAGACACTGAGAAAACGGACTTCGGAATGCAAACAATGAAGAGCCCCCAGAATGAGTGGTCTCAAACTACAAACCAAGATATCAAGACATTAATGGAGAGATTAAAAATAATTGAGGAGAGACAAGAAGAAACTAGGAAGGAGCTGATATCTGAGATAACAGTAATAAAGAATACTGTGAATGAAATAAATAACAAACTGATAAGCATGGAAAGCAGAATTACCCAAACAGAAGAAAAAAATCTCAGAGTTTGAGGCCAAAATATAGAATTAACCCAAACTCTTAAAAACACAGAAAATAAGCTCAAAAAGATAGAACAAAACCTTCAAGAGATGAGCAATTACATCAAGAGACCGAACCTAAGAGTAATTGACCTTTCTGAGGCAGAGAGACAGAGACCACACTGGAACAAACTTTGCTTGAGATCATTCAAGAAAACTTCCCTTATCTAATCAGTAATGCAAAATTCAAGCACAAGAGATTCAAGGAACTCCTGCAAGACAACAAATGAGAAGACCAACTCCTAGACACATAATAATTCGCCTAAACAAAGCAGGCATAAAAGAAAAAAATCCTAAAGGCAGCAAGAGAAAAAGGCCAGATCACCTACCATGGAAGACCAATTAGAATAGCAGCAGATTTATCTACAGATAAATCTCCTGCAGGCTAGGAGAGCTTGGAGCCCTGTCTTCAAAGTCCTAAAAGATAAACAATTTCAACCAAGAATAACCTACCCGGCCAGGTTAAGCTTCATCAGCGAGGGAGAATTAAAATATTTCCCAGATATCCAATCCCTAAGAACTTACACTTCCACCAAACCACCTCTACATGAAACACTTAAGAAAGTACTAAACACAGAAGAAAAGGAAAAAAGAACAACGTTCTTCACAAGAGTACAGGAAAAAGAATAAAAGACACAAGAACCAACCCCCAAACCAAAAGAAAGACAAAAAACCAAATGGAACAATAACAACTCTATAAGTACTCTATGATAGGGACGAACTCTCACATTTTAATAATTAGTCTGAATATGAGTGGACTAAACTCACTACTGAAAAGACATAGAATGGCGAAATGAATAAAATATCACCAG